GAACTTACTCGAAAAAAACTTTGGGGGGCCCGTACGCGGGTACCACGCGGGGTGTGGCGCCAATTTCGGGAATTGGGGACCGTACGTGCATGTAGACTAAGTCCCCAAAATTTCAGCCCCGTAGCTTTTGTAGGTCTTGAGATGAAAGACCGTGACAGACGCACACACGGACACACACACACACAGACACACAGACAACCTCTCGTCAATATGCGTTTTTCGCATTGCATTGCTGCAAAAAACGCATAAAAATCACACAGACAACCTCTCGTCAATATGCGTTTTTCGCATTGCACTGCTGCAAAAAACGCATAAAAACGGAGGAAATATATAACAACAAAAAATCGAAACACAGACAACCTCTCGTCAATATGCGTTTTTCGCATTGCATTGCTGCAAAAAACGCATAAAAACATAAAAATGCGTTGAAATTTTTTTTCGTGGAGAAAGATATTTTCGTGCAGAAAGAAGCGAGCATAGGGACGAAAAGCAGTCCCAGTCGAGCGAAAATCACATCGTTGTGGCCCACGGCCCAAAGGATTGACATGCATTGTTCAGCGTATAGCTACTTTCGAGAAACAATTCGGGCAGCGATGGACCGCGATCTATGCAGTCGGCCATTTCTCCATCAACTAGAATCTTATGCTTCTCGCATCCTGCAGCACCACCCATACTCAACTGTCTGTGGCTGAATCCGTGTGGTTTTCAAGGGCATGTGAAAGTTTTGGCAGGAAAATCTTCAAATTCCGAAATCTTTTGACTGCGCGTGGGTGGGGAATATAGCCTCAAAATTTCAGCCTTCTAGCTTTTCCGGTTGCCGAGCTAGCCATTTTCCCGACAAACCTTGCACGTATCCGTGCGTGAGGACCACGAGCACCTAGGAGCTCGATTTGAAATCAGTTGAGTTGGGTGCGTCGGCGCAAAGTACTGGTGCTTCCTGCTGCTCCCTTAGTACTAATTAACAAAACGAACGAAGCTACAGCAACAGATTGCGCGAAACTGAAGATTTTAGCGAAGATATGCAAAAAAAGGCACAACAGAAAGCCCCTTCAGCATCCCCCTGCAAACCTCCCACCACAGAGACAAGCATAAAGCCAACACGCCCGTACGGCAATGAATGCCAGCACAACCGCCAACCAACACTCCAAAGCTTAACAACAGGGACGAACACGTACCAAACATTATGCAAAATTTAGCTAATTTCAGAATTTCACTTTCAATGTTCCCTGTCTGTATATGTATGTGTGTGTGTGTGTGTGTGTGTGTGTACCAGTATATGTGTGTGCGTCTGTATATGTGTGAGTGTGCCCGTATGTGCATGCACATGTGTGTGCATATTTGTATGTGTATATATATGTGAGTGTGTGTATGGCGAATGGAGCCTCACTCTGCAACAACATGAACATAAAACAATTTTTTAAAGCGT